AATTAACTTTCTTTCTTTTTACTCTTCTTTCTTTTTCCTCTTCTTTCTTTTTCTACATTATGGTTCTTTCTTCACTTTATCTTTTACTTTCCTTCTTTTTTTCCATTCTTTCTTTTATTTCGTTTATTTTCATAGCACTATTCTTCCTTTATACAATAGAATCCCTGACAACCGGACTAATACGGACTTCCGGATATGAGGAATTGTTTACAAAGTCCGGATATCAGGGGTTATATTTAGATTAAAAAGAACTGAAATCAGTTTTAACATTTATTTTCAATGTTTTATAGTAAACAAAATAAGCTAATCGTGAGTGAAATATAACGGAATTGATTTTAAGGAAAAAGAAATAAATTATGTAATGTTAATCAAAATTTAAGAAATTAAGTATACCACGTATGCAAAACAAAAAATGTAACGAGGAGTTTTTTAATCACTGTAGCATGATGATTCTTTTTCTTCTAAATTCATTCTCAACTTTTTCTGAAATTCGTTTTGCTTTTATTCTTGATTTTTTTTTAATTGAAAGACACTTTAAAACTCTGCGTGCGTTATTGCAATCGTCAAAGCTGAATGCTGGCTTTCTTTCCATAAAACTGACAACCTTTTCAATAGCTTTTTGTATCTCAGTCCAGTTTTCATCACAATCATGCATCTCGTCGTTATCTTGTTGCAGATGTGTCTCCTTGTCATCCTTTCCTCTTATTTCCATCATCTTTTACACCAATCCAAGCCATTAGGGTGAAATAAGCATAAGTAATTATTCAAAGTAAATTTCCTGAAAAACAGAAAATTCAAATCAGTTACACATCACCCAAGTAGTTCAAATATACACATCAAAATCATGTCCGGATATGCGGGATTCCAGATATGAGGGATTCCGGATATGAGGGATTCCGTATATGAGGGATTCCGGATATGAGGGATTTTACTGTACCATATTTTTTCTGTCTTTCTTCAACTCTTCTTTCTATCTTTCTTTGCTTAATTCTTTTTTCGCCACTCTTTCATTTATTTTTTCTTTGTTTTTCTTTCTTCCCTTTGTCTTTCTTTACATTTCAATTTCTTCTACTCATTAACAATTTTGCTTAATTCATGCCTTTCTTATTTCCTTTGTTCTTTTTTTCTTATTTCATTCTTTCTTCATTTTTTCATGCTATAAACATTTTTCTTTTTTCAATTCTTCTATCTTTCCTTGCATAACTCCATGTTTCTTTCAGTCACCTTTTTTTTCAGTGTCTCTTTCCTTTCTTTTTCTTTAATAATGGAATAAGAAGAAATAAAAACAGAAAATAAGAAAGATTTTCTTACTTACTTTTTTTCTTTTTATTCCGTTAGTTTTCATTTACTTATATCATGTCTGCCTTTATTTACATTATTCGGACTATTGACCGCATCTTTGTCGCCATATTTATTACAACGTTTCGGCCATTGTACGATCGGGCCTTTTTCAGATGGTTGGAATGTCGAACTGAGCCCTTTACTTCGCTCACTGGGGTAGACTGTTCTAGTTTCACGTGCCATGGATAATGGATGTCATCAGTTATCTCCTGGTAATTTCCCTCTGAAAGTTCTCCACTGCCTTAACCAGGTATTGAACTCACAACTCTTTGGGTCCTGTCACTGGATCTAACCAACGCTTTTATCTACTGTGCCATATGTCCTTGAGTCCGACTAATGTAAACAATGTACATAATACGTCATCTCAGAAATATTGACAGATACTGAATGTCTGCCTTTGTTTAATTCTTTTTCCCTTTCATTGCTTTATTTCTATCCGATAATACATTTTCTTCATTCTTTCCTTCTTTCTTTCTTTCTTTTTTCCTTTCTTTCTTTCTTTCTTTCTTTCTTTTTTCTTTCTTTTGGATTACACTTTCTCTTTTATTTTGTATTCGTCCATCCACTCAAATTTCTCTTTCTTTCTTTCTTTCTTTCTTTCTTTCTTTCTTTCTTTCTTTCTTCGTTTTTTTCTCTTTTTTTGCATACATCATGGTTTTCTTTTCACTTCTTT